GCCTCAGCCTTCCAAGTAGCTGGAACTACAGGTGTGCGCTGCCACGCCTGGCAGAATTTTTTGATTTTATTGTAGAGATGAGGTCTCGCCTGCCCAGGCGGGTCTTGAACCCGCGGCCTGGGTCTTGCACCCGCGGGCTCAGGCAATCCACTCACCTCAGCCTCACAAAGGTGCGGGATTACAGGCTGAGCCACCGAGCCCGGCTTCTACTCATTTTTTACTCCTTCCTTCCTTGCTTCCTTCCTTCCTTCACGAACTTCTACTCATTTTTTACTCCTTCTTTCCTTCCTTCTTTCCTTCCTTCCTTCACAAACTTCTACTCATTTTTTACTCCTTCCTTCCTTGCTTCCTTCCTTCCTTCCTTCTTTCACAGAGTCTTGCTCTGTCGCCCAGCCTGGAGTGCAGTGGTGCAGTCATGGCTCACTGCAGTCTCGAACTCCTGGGCTTAAGTGATCCTTCTTACTCAGCCTCCCACGTAGCTGAGACTGCAAGCAAATGCCACCATACCAGGCTAATTTTTTGATATTTTTGTAGAGACGAGGTCTTGATATGTTGCCCAGTCTGGTCTCGAACTTTTTGACTCAAGTTATCCTCCTGCCATGGCCTCCCAAAGTGCTGGGATTATAGGTGTGAGCCACAGCATCCAGCCCGTTTTGAACTTTCTGCATCTAATTCAATTCTCGCCTAAAGCTCCTCAGTGCATACTTATTGACTGATTCACGAGGAAGATAATCAACAAGCACTTTTAATAAAAGCCATTCCTAAGTGAGAATCTCAGATATCCTTATCATCTTGTGTAGTCCCTAGTAAACCATAATAAAGTGAAGCTGCAATTAGGTCTGACAGATCTCTTATTAAAAAAGAAGTCTGCATGATTATCTCCATGATAAAACTCCATCTTTTTTATGAGACGATCATTACTTTTTTTTTTTTGAGTTGGAGTTTCACTCTGTCGCCCAGTGCTCTTCGACCATCGCAGCTTCAACCCGCTGAGCTCCGGCGATCCTTCTGCCTCAGCCTTCCAAGTAGCTGGAACTACAGGCGCGCGCTACCACGCCCGGCTAATTTTTTAGAGATGAGGTCTCGCCAAGTTGCCTCGGCGGGTCTCTAACCTGCTGGCTCAGGCAATCTACTCGCCTCAGCCTCCCAAAGTGCTGGGATTACAGGCTAAACCGCCGAGCCCGCTCGATCATTACTTTTAATATTGGTTCAACTTAGCTCTAAGTCGATAGAACAATGTTTCCTCCAAAAGAATGAATTTACCTCTGGCTCCGTACCCATCTTCTTTCTAATTTCTTTCATGTCACTGTGGTACTGTTGGCGTATCTCCTCCAACTGCTTCCAATATTCCTGGAAAGTAAACCAAACCCAAACTTTAAATGTTTGTGAACACTGTAACAAAAATAATCTCTATACGGCCTACAATTTTTAAAATGTGTAATATAAAATAAGGATTAGAAAATCTGCTGTTCCTAAAGATGACCATCTGCCTTCTGTTTTGGCTGTGGGACTTCACATCCTCTGAGACAGGAGCTTGAGATACAGAGCTCATTTTTATGTATAACTCCAAACGTGTGAATGACGTACTTTACAAATCCTACTTTTATATATAATCCTGTTTACGCTGAATTTTCTACCCCCCAAAAAAGATATGTCAGCATGGTGTCATGCTACCCCACAATGTCTCAGAATTGTGACCTCATTAGAAAAGAGGGTCACTGCAGATATAATAGTTAAGATGAGGTTATGCTAGAGTAGGGTGGGCCCCTAGTTCACTGTGACTGGTGTCTTTAAATTAAGATAGTCATGTGAGGCTGGGTGCGGTAGCTCATGCCTATAATCCCAACACATTAGGAGGCCGAGGTGGGAGGAACCCTTGAGCCTATAAGTTTGAGAACAGCCTGGACAGCAAAGTGAGATCTTGTCTCTACAAAAAAAAAGAAAAAAAAAATTAGCCAGGTGTGGTGGCATGTGCCTGTAGTTCCGGTTACTTGAAAGGCTAAAGTGGAAGAATTGCCTAAGCTCAGTAGGCCAAGGCTGTGTTTAGCCACGAGTGTGCCATTGCACACCAGCCTGGGCAACAGCGTGAGATCACAACTCAAAAAAAAAAAAAAAAAAAAAAGACAATCATGTGTAGATGGAGATACACTGAGAGAATACCACGTGACAAAGGCAGAGAATGAAGTCATGCAGCTACGAGCAAAGGAATGCCAAAACGATTGCAAACAAACCACTAGTAGCTAGGAAAAGGCACAGAAGTATTTCTCTGGAGGTATCAGAGGGAGCCTGGCACCACTGACACCTTGATCTTGGACTTCTGGCCTTCCAGGATGGTGAGACAATACATTTCTGCTGTTTTAAGCCACCCAGTATGTTGTACTTTGATATGGCAGCCCTAGGAAACTAACATAAATTCCAAACATCTTAACAATGGACAGTTATTTGATCAATCCAAGTTTAGAAGCCTCATGAACTAAGCTATGATGCATTCTCAGAAAGTGAAATACTTAAGCCTATATGGTCAGAACATCTGGCAAGGTGCTTCACATACTGTGTCCAACAAGTATTTGTGCAACAGCGCCCTCTCAGGGGCACTGGGGGAAACAGAAGCAACACCCTCTTCCGTACAAAAGACAGAAACACAAGTGCAGTGGGAACGCTGGAATTCGACTGTTTTTAACCTGTTCCTTCATTTCATTTTTCCTACACCGCAGCTCCTGGAATCTAGGTTCTTCTGCATGACTTCTTAGCTCTTGTCTCTGGTTGCGATTTGGCTCAGCAGAAGATGGACGGAGACCCTGTTTATTGAACAAAGTAGTTGATGAAGCAGATGCTCATTTTGGAAACATTTGATGCAACCGTGAACTTTTCCCTATAAGCAAGAATTATATCACCAAGCAAACTCGGTATTTGGGAGTTTTTTATGGTAAGTAGTAGAATTTTCTTAGTTTAAGTATAAAACATGAAACAATTTTTAAAATTAATCCAACCATTTACGTTCTTTATTCCAAGCAACCAGTATTTTATGCTGCCCACTTGAGACACCTAGATTCATTTTATGAGTTAGTGAATTATAATTGTGATATTAAAGCTCGGTAAAGGTTTAGAAACCCCAGAGCATGAGACTGGGCAGGGAAACAGAACTATAGCTTTTGAGCAGTTCAAAATAAGAGTGACACACATATAAGGCATATTCAGTCTCTCTCAGTCCCAGAATTCTGACGTGGTATTTAAAGGTAAAGATAAATTTTCATTTCAAATAAAGCATAATAGTCACTTTTTTAAAATCTGCAGACGAGACTTTAACAAAGTAGAATCAAAGCACTGATGGGGAACTTATCTGCTCCAGAACTGTCATTTATAGAAAAGGCAATTAAGGCCCAGAGAGGTGCATAAAATGCCCAAAACCACACAGCAAGTGATAGAGCCAGGGTGGATGCCAGGCTTCCAAGACTGATTCACATCAGTTCCTATTATTTTCTTTAGCTATTAAAAACTGGGGCTGGGCACAGTGGCTCACGACTGTAAGCCTAGCAATTTGGGAGGCTGAAGCTAGAGGATTGCTTGAACACAGGAGTTCAAGACCACCATAGGCAACATAGTCAGACCTCGTTTCTACAAAAAAAGAAAAAAAGTTAGCCAGGCATGGTGGTGCATGCCTGTAGTCCTAGCTTCTCAGGAGGCTGAGGTAGAAGGATTACTTGAGCCCAGCAGTTCGAGGCTATGGTGAGCTGTGATTGTGCCACTGCACTCTAGCCTGGGTGACACAGTAAGTCTCCAATTCAAAACAAAAAAACAAAAACAAAACTGGGAATTGATGAAAGATAGTCTTGACTTTCTAGTGGAATGAACTTTGACCAGAATATCTACTATGAACAGAAAAATTATTAGGCAATTCCTGACTGCCTCCAATATTTGATATTTTACTTACCAATTGCTTTTCCACTTTCAACTTATATTGTTGAGCTTCAAACTTCCTCTGAAGGAACTCAGCAGGCCTTAGGAAATAAGAATGCTCAGTTTGAGTAGAAATTTTAACCAGCATCAGGCACCAATTTGACAAGTGGCTTTTCATCTTAGTCATGAGATTCACAATTCACTTGGGCTTGAAGTTCCAAATTCAAGAAGTAATTCAAAGTTACAGAATATTTACATTAGAAAATAAAATTTTGGAGTCAAGAGAAAGGAGAAATAAAGAATAATGAGGACTACGGGAGAGGATTAAACAGAAAAATATTCTGATCCAGTGATTTTCCTTCAGGCTGGGATTCAGTGCTTTGATAGTCTATAAGATGTTAGGGGAGGGAAATAAGCCCATGACTGATTTTCTCATGCCCTGGGTAGGTATCTAATGGACAAGCTGTAACCCCTGGCTTAGCAATGGCTTCATGTCTGTTTCCTGCACTACACATTGAGCTCCTTGAGAGTAGAATGTGTCTCTGTCCCGTTACCTCTGGCACATCAATGCTTAATGATACTTTAGCTGTCTTTTCAAATATTTAAGGTATTTTGCCTGCACAATTCTGGTCAAACCATCTTCAGATTTATACTTATATTTTGTTGTTGTTGTTGTTGAGTTGGAGTCTCACTCTGTCACCCAGACTGGAGTGCAGTGGCCACTCCCAGCCAGTGCAGCCTCGACCTGCTGGGCTCCAGCGATCCTTCTGCCTCAGCCTTCTGAGCAGCTGGAACTACAGGCGTGATACCACGCCCGGCTAATTTTTTGATTTATTGTAGAGATGAGGTCTCGCCAAGTTGCCCAGGTGGGTCTTGAACCCCGTGGGCTCAGGCAAT